AAATGTGATCAAAACTAAAGCAATCTTCAGTAATTCAGTATGTCTATTGATGCCTTCTTCTGTGGACTCAAGAAATTCAATCCATAGTTCATAATCTTCCTCTATATCCTGACTTCTGCTTGGAAATGTCAATGTATGTATTGATAGCTCCAAGAACACTCTGACTTCCCAGGTTCTCAACATTTTCAATTTCCAACCAATCAATCAAGCATTTTTAAGAGCCCTATTATCTGGCAGGCATTGTGCAAGGTGCTAGGAACACAATAAAAAAAATAAAAAGGGCCCTGTTCTCAAGGAGCTTTGATATTTTATTAGGGAGACAGCATGTATACAGATTATATGCACAAATGATGTAAAGTAATTTGGTGAGGGGACACAATAGGAAGTGGAGAGCCAGTTCAGGAAGGAACATATGTAGGCAGTGGTACTTCAGAGCAGAGCTCTGAAGGAAGCTGGGACTTCCAAGGGGTGGAGTGAGGAAGGGAGAACCTTCTAAGTATAGTTCCTTCTCATGCAAAGGAACAGAGATAAGAAGTGAAGAAGCACAGGAGAGGAAAAGCTGGGTCAGTCTGGAGTGTTTGAGGGGGAGTGATGTAAGATTGGAAAGGCAGATTGTAGCTCTAGGTTGTAATTAAATTTTAAATGCCAGACACAAAGATGTAAAACTTGGTGACAAAGATAATAGGGAGTCACTGAGCTTCACTGAGGAAGGGAGGGGACACGGTCAGACCTATCGTCTAAGAGGATCACTTCGACAACTGTATGGAGAATGAACTGGAGAAAAAAGACTTGAAGCAGGGAGACTAGTAGGAACTTACGCCAATAGCACAGAAAGATGATTCAAGCTTGAATAGGGTGGTTATGGTATATGAGTGGAGAAAAGAGGATAGGCGTGAGAGATGTAGTGGAGGTGGAATAGACAGGACTCTGAAAGTGATTGGATATGTGAAGAGAAGGAGAGGAGAAGGCCAAGTTTGAGGATAAAAGTGATGGGCTAGGGCATGCTGACTTTAAGATGCCTACTGAATATCGACTTTAGAATGTCTAATATGCTATTGGTGACATCAGATTGGAACTCAGGAGAGAGAACAAGGCTGGATATTTAGACCTAAGAGTCAGTTACACAGAGATAATAATAGGGGTTTTTTTTTTGGGGGGGGGTTTGAGCAGTCTAAAAACTTTTTTCAATTTTTATATCACTTGGATTTCCCAACATATCCTTCTTTCTTCCCCTCCCAGAGAACCATATCTTATATATTAAAAAAAATTAATTGAAAAAGTACAAAACTAATCAATACATCAATCATACCTGGAATTATATTTGATGCTCCACATGCAAAGTCTTTCACTATAAAAAGCATAATTGAACTGATAGTTGAGATTATGGTTTCACCAAAAGATAGTGTGGATGAAAAGACAGCCTAAGGCAGAGCCTCTGCCCCTCCCCACCATCTTCACACAGTTAAGTGGGCAGGGTACACATGATAATCCAGTCTAGGAGACTGAGAAACAGCAAACAGGTAGAATGAGGACCAGTGTCACAGAGAGCACAGTGCCCCCAAAAACCCAGAGAGGAGAGAAAGAATGTACAGTGAGACGGTGGACACCTGAGTCTAATATGCTGGAGAGGTCAAAAAGAGGAATGAGAAAAAAAGATCATTGGATTTGTCAGTTGTGAGAGCCTTTTTAACTTTGAAAAGAACAGTAAGCAGAATACTCAGCTTATAGCCAGATTGCTGAGTTGAGAAGAAAATGAGAGGCAAGGGAGTGTAGTTTTTTCTTTTTTCCCAGAAGCTTCTCTGTAAAAGGGGTGAGAGACAGAGCACTAGAGTTCATAAGGATCGAATGGTCCAGAGTTAGAGTCAGAGAGATTTAAGCATGTTTATTAGCAGCCAGTAGTGGGGGGAAATGAAGATTAGAGAGAAGAGATGATTCTGACCTGCACTTTCTCCCCTCCTTTCCACATAGGGGTCTTACCATTTGACCTCTTCACCTTCAGATCCAAGGTTCCAAAATTCTTCTGACCATCTCTCTGTGTCTTACTTAGTCTTCCAAAAGCTATTTTCCCTCCTCACTGCAACCTCCAATCACTTTATCCCTCCCTATTTTCCCTGCTTCAGGTTCACTTTCTTCTCTATTAAACAATAACAATAATAGTTAAATATGTATTTATTAAGTTCCAGCTATGTGCCAGGCACTGTTCTAAATTCTGGGGATACAAAAAGAGGCAAAAGACAGTCCCTATCCTCACGGAGCTTATAATCTAATGGTGGAGACAATAGACAGACAAATATACACAAAGTAAGCTACATACAGGATAAATAAAAAATAATTTTTCATGGGAAGGCACTGGAATTGAGAGGAGTTAGGGAAGGCTTGCTGTAGGAAATGAGATTTTAGTTGAGACTAAAAGGACAAAAGGAAGCCAGGGAGATCAGTAGTCAGAGTGGAGGGGGGAGAGCATTCAAGGCACTGGGACAGACAGATAAAGTGCCTGGAACCAAGAGATGGAGTGTTTTGTTTGTGGGGCAGAAAGGAGTCCAGGGTCACTGGATTGAAGAGTACATTTCGGGAAGTAAGGTGTAAAAAGAGTGGAAAGGTAGGGAGGGGCTATGTTATGAAAGGCTTTGAATGCCCAACAGAGCATTTTGTATTTGCTTCTGGAGGCAATAGGAAGCCCCTGGAGTTTATTGAGTAAAGAGGGTGACGTGATCAGACCTGCACTTTCAAGAAAAACTCTTTAGTGCATGATTGGAGAATGATGATTAATGATGATGATGATGACGATAACTAGCATTTATATAATACTTTAAGGCTTGCAAAGCACTTCACGTTAAATCACCTGGTTCTCACAATAACTGTACGAAGTGCTATTATTATCCCCATTTAACAGGTAAGGAGACAGAGAGAAGTTAAATGACTTACGAAGGGTTAACACAGCTAGTGTGTTTGAGGTGGGACTTTGATGTTAATTCACCATTTCTTCTAGATGCTGACCTCTGTCAGAATCTCCTACCTTCTTTTCTATTGCTGCTTATATCTTTGTAAACCTCAAACTTTGATTACATTAACCAATCACCTCCTCCACTCTTACTTGGTGATGCTGAATCAAGCCAGAGGAAACTGTAAAACCCTGCTTACCAGGTCCACCACCAATTTATGCTATCTAACCTCAACTGGGCTGTCATTATGGGATATGACTATCCCCTTACCAGTAGACAAGAAGATTCAAGATGATAGTCGGGGTCACATGAAGGTATTTCTTTAAAGATGGGGGAGATCTGGGCTTATTGGTAGGCAGCAGAGAAGGAAACAAGGAAACTCCTTGATTGGCTTTCTATCACATTTCCCACAATATCTGTTTCAAATCTCTTCTCTCAAGCTACTCGTACTACTCCTTTCCCTTTCTCTCTCTGCAGAGAAACTTAACTAAGAAAATTGAGACTGTCATGAACTCTTTCTTCTCCCCAGTTCTACACCACAGAGTCTCTCAATATCATTCCATGTGTTCTCCCCCTTTGCTTATCTCAAAGGAAGAGGTTCTTGTCAAGACCAACCCCTCTACTTATTCTCTTCTGGGAGGTTGGCCTTTCATTATTCCTTTTCTTCTATTTCCAATCTCTCTTTATCTGCTGCCTCCTTATCTACTTGTTACTGTTATTGTTTGGTCATTTCAATCATGCTTGACTCTCTATGACCCCATTTGGGTTTTTCTTGGCAAAGATACTAGAGTGGTTTGCCATTTCCTCCTCCAGCTCATTTCAGAGTAGGAACTGAGGCAAACAGTGTTAAGTGCCTAGTCCAGGGTCACACAGTTATTAAGTATCTGAGGCTGGATTTGAACTCATGAAGATGAATCTTCCTGACTTGAGGCCCTGCACTCTATCCACTGTGCCAGCTACCTGTTCCAGCCTCCTTCCCAGTTACTTACAAATGGCCATTTATGGCCCCTCATTCTTTAAAAACAAAACCGAAAAAAAATTCATTTGGCGCTATTATTCCAAGCTAAACTAAATACTATCCTCTTTTTTTTTTAACAGCTAAACTTCTAGAAAAGTCTGTCAACATTTCTTGACTTCACTCCCTCATTTACCACTAACCTCTCAATCCCTTGTGATCTGGCCTCTTACCCTAGAACTTTACATAAATTGCTTTCTCCAAGGTTATCAATGATCTCTTAACTGCTAAATCCAATGGTCTTTTCTCAGCCCTCATCCTTTATGACTTCTCTGTAGGATTTGACATTCTTGACCACCCCCTCCTTCCCGAGTTTTCATGACACTGCTTCCTCCCTGTCTGACTTCTCCTTCTTAGTGTCCTCTGCTGAATCATCATCCATGTCCTGTCCCATATACATGAGTATGCAGGAGGGCCCCAGGACCCTCCTGGTCCTTTTTCTCTTCTCTCTATATTCTGTTGGTGATCTCATAAGGTCCCACAGTTTCAACGGTCATCTTTCTGCAGTTTACTCCTAAATCTACATATCCAGTTACCTTCTTTCTTGAATCTAGTCTTGAGATGGACTGAAGAGGAAACATGCTATCCATCTCCTGCAGAGAGCTAAAATGCAGAATGAAACATATTTTTTGGACGTGGCCAATGTATAATTTGTTTTGCTGGACTACGCACATTTGTTATGAGGGCTTTCTTTTCTTTTAATTGTATAATTGCGAGGCAGTATGACAGTAGGAGGATCAATGCTTATAAAAATAAATGAACGAAAGAAAAAATAGGTTCAAAATGTTTATTGTTGCCTTTCCCTGCTTTCTCCATCACTTCACAGCTACAGAAACCAAATTAACAGTAAAGGGACAGGCATCATGGATATGTAAGTGTTTTCAGTAAGACCATGTCTTTTTTGAAATCAATTTAAAGCCATAAATGACAGTGTTGGAGTGGTTGATCTGGAAGGGCCCTTCCAACTCCAAAATGCTTTAAACATAGGTATTTGTGGAGGGTAAGGGCTAAGAGGAAGAAAAAGAAAAGACATTCCAGAAATCTTTTTTTTTTTTAAAAAAAGAAAACAATGTTTATTAGGATATTTTGGGGGTGGGGAAAGGTGCTATGTACAGTTTGTAGTGCATGAGCAATATACTAACAGAAAATTCAAACATCACAAAATCACTTCCATAGTCCTTTTTTCCACACTAAACCCTCTTCCGTGGGTATTGGCAATAAAGTACCTTGCAAAATGGCTGTGAGAAGACTTCATACAGTATAACAATCCTGGGGAAATCTACAGAGTTCCTTAGTACAGCATATATAGAATATACACAAGAGAACAAGGGAAGCGTATAGGGTCCTCCAGAAATGGAGGTACTTGGTTAGTAGGTGGTATAAAATAAATACCAGAAACAAAAGCAATGAATAAGCTCCCAGTCTGCAGGCTCTAATCATTGTGGACACTGCAGACATCACCTCCAAACCATACCATGGGTACCGATGGAGGTGGGAGCAAGTAGGCCCCTTTCTGGGGATTTCATCACAACATAGACCCATTTCAGATTCCTTATTCTCCTCTCCCTACACTGTAGTTCTTGCCAACCTGTATCATACAGAACAAAAACGTGGACATACTCCCAAATAGAGGAGATCCAAAAACATCCATTCAGAAGGAAAAAAAACGTCTGGATACCTCACATCACTTCTCCACATGAGCTGGATTAAATAGGGCCAATTGTTTCAATATTGAAGGATCATGCACACACCACTTTGTAAGCCCCATATTAAGTAAAAGTAGTGCCAGTAGGTCTTTGGCAGATGGGGAAGAAGAGGGGAGAAAAGATTAAATAGTTGAGAAACTGAAACTCTCCACTCATCCCACCCTGTGCCCTACACTGGGCTTTGTTTCTTCTGAAGCTTTTCCTTCAGCCCCCTTAAGTTGAATCTTTGAATATCCAGAAAACAAAAGCATGGAGCATATCCAAAACACTGCCTGATAGAGTTAGACCACAGCCAAATGAGGCAGAGCAATCTGGGAGTCAGTCCACCTTTATCAGTTTCCTTTTCTGCATTCAGAAGTGCCTCCAGAGAAAAGGGGAAAATAGAAAGCCAGATTCCAGATCAAGCACACTTAACACGCCAGGGAGAGAATGCAGGTTTCCCATAACCCTCTGTCTCATGTGCCCACTCCCACTCCCACCAGCTGCAACCTGAGGAGCATCCCATTGTGAGCACTGCTAAGCCTTGGAGTTAGATGCCAACACACTGAAGGGAAATCCAGCACCTTCACCAGGAGCGATGACTGGAGAGATCCTGGCTGACAACCTTCAGTCATTTCCAAGACACTGGTAACCTTCCCACCTCCCTTGTAAGTCTAGGCTATCTATTTACCTTGTCAGAATTTTTTAAACTTAATTCTTACTATGCTAGGTCCAAGTTGCATCTCTGCACACCAGGCAGTATCATTTCACAGTTGTGGGTTTGCTGCCACTCCAATCAAAATTTATTTTACTTTCTCAGGTTTTTCCTTATGTGCTGCTTTGCACTGGACAGGGGGTGGGGGGTGGGGAAGTGGTTTCTGATAAAATAACTTCCTATTACCTTATGGCTTCAGCAGCTCCACTGGCTTTTGGACTTGGCAGAATTTGTACTTCCCAAAGGCTCAGTGGAGTGATTCAGGGGTTGTTATGGCTGCCTTCACTTTAGGTTCATCGTTAAGGGCAAATATGACTGCCCCTGCTCTGTGTCTGCCTGTAATAGGTTAGTGGCTGTGGCTGGCAAGCTTGGTTGGACTTTTCTCGCAGAGACTCAAACTCTAAAAAGTAAATTCATAAGGTAATTATAAAGGCAATTTAGTGTCTGTGCAAAAGACCAGAGAAGAGACATTTGCCCTTCCTTCCACATGGGCAGCTTACTCCCTACCTCAGCAGTCATGAGTTCAGGAGGGAATCAGACTTCCAAAGCTATAAGCAGGCCTGCTTGCTCAATTTCTCTCCTCAGCAGGGGAGCTGGTTGTCTGACTTGCAGATATCCCTTCCCCCTCCCACTGGAGGTCTTTGGGGAATTAGGCCTTTCTTCTCCCTTTTCCAGGCTGCTCTGGATTTGATCTCATGAGTTAAAGATGAAAAGCCCTGCAGATCATTACCTCTTCAGAGCTCAGCTCCTGTCAGGGACTGAAAGCACCTTTTAGCTGGCACTGTTCAACAGAGTATGGGGTACGCAAAGGAAGTCAAACTAGGTCGACTTCAAGCGTCTTAGATCTCTTGCCTCTGTCTAACCCACCTTTCCTACCCCACCAAGATTCACACTTAAATTGACTTGTGGACCTCAGGTATGAAAATTCAAAACCACAATGTATGAGCTCAATGCTAGCTGGATGGTACAGAGATGCCTTAATATGATTTCTTCTAAGATCCAATGAAGTCTTCTTGGGAAGAGCAAGGTCAAGGAGGAAGGAGAATTTGGAGACAAGGCATGTTGCTTGTGCCCGTATGACGGAACATCATCTAATCCTCACCCAAGATGTCTAAGCCAATCTTCTTCCATTATGGGCAAATGGCAAAAAGGAAGCAAAGGAATCTGGCTCGGTTAGGAAAAGAGGTCAAATCAGAGAAAGCCTCCTACTTAAGCTGGCTATTGGGCTTGGCAGCTGCCCTTGGCAAAAATGAATTCCACATGGCAGCATGACAGGATGCTGCTATTGGCACCTGCTAGAGGCGAGCAGCCTCAGTCACAGCTGTGCTGGTCAAACGAGGTTGGAGACCTTCAGAGACCAAGACCTTGAATGAATATCAGGATGTTTCCTTTTTCCCTAGTCTACAGAAATAAATATGGCCAAGGCTTGCTCTATTCCCAATGTGCTGTAGTATGGACAACATTTAGGAAGATTTCAGGTCTGTGAATGTTTGACCACTGTCTTATCAATAACAAGAATTCCCTCCCGTTCAGAAATCCACTGCAATCAAATTAAGGACAATGTCAAACCAGTTCAGTGATGGTGCTGATGCGACTTCCCTGGTTAGGATTTCAGAGCCAATCTCCTATCCTGGGATGATGTATGGGAAAGATGGATTACACCCTTACTCCTAAAAAGAGATGGCAGACAGGCTTTGAGGGAGCCAAGACTAAGCATGCAAAAGGATTCTGGTATATGTTTGATTAGGCCTAACTTCAGAGTTAACACGAGAACAGAACTTCGAGGAGAGAGAAACTAAATTAGGCCAGTAGGGGAAATGGAAAGGGGAAGAAGGCAAATCAAGTAGACAACCAGAAAGGTCAATAACCAATTTCAGAAGAAACAAAGCAAATCTATCTAGATGAAATTTCATGGGGAGTTGACTGATTTTTGCCACCCATGGTGCACATCCCATTAACAAGATAATATACGCCAATTCCATAGTTCAGATGTTTTATGGAAAAATGATCACGAGCTGAGCCAAACCCATTTGGACTGAAGCATAAGCACGCAGTTCAGGAATTCTGCAGTGGAGAATCATAAGAATCTGGCAAATTGGTTTAAAATACCTGGCATCTTAAGAATAAGGCTGCCTACTATCCATAAGTGAAGCAGACAATGGCAAGAATTATCAGTTAAAACTTGAGGGCTATCTTGAGGATGATGGGGAAAACAAACAAAAAAAACCCTGAGCTTCTAAAAACCTACAAACAGAATTGATTTTGTTTTATTTTCAAAGCTCTGAAACAAGAACAGTTAACCCTAAGTTCATCAGTTATTTGTTTACGCCTTCCTCAAAAGGGCTTTCAGTTTTCAAAGAAGGTAACCTTCCCTCTATTTTGTTGGGTGTAAGTTGCCAACCCTAAGCAATGAGGAATATTATCACGGGTGTATGATACATTCACTCCTGGACCAGTGATTTTGCCAGCCATTCAGTGTTCCATCCTGATGCTCTTTCTCCCATCTTAAAGTTTCCTTTCCTTGGCAAATACTATGCCTTTCCCACAGAAATCTCTGGAATGACTTCAGTTTACCCTTGCTGGTGCTCTGACCACTTCAGTTTTTTGGACCAATACTCTAAGTCATTATTGTTTATTCACTTTGAACCTGGAAGATAGTTTCTTGGTCTGGCTTACCTTTACCATACATCACAGAGGTAAGACAGAGAATGTTGGGAGGGAAACTGATCAACAGGGGCCAAAAACTAGGTTGTATGGGAATTTATAAGCCCATGTTATTTACTCAAGTGACACTTTCTTTCATATGGTTTATTTTTCAAATAAGTAGTATATGCCTGGCGACATGAATGAGAACTTATTTTTGGAAAAGCAGCTCTTCTGAGGCCACTATTTCATAAACAACAACAGAAATCCATTTAAAGCTGGAATCTAAGAAAAGATTTTGCTAATTATATGAACTCCCACTGCTCCCACATCTCTTCTCCCTCCCCCCACCGAGTACTCACACTGATTCAAAAGTGCTTCAGTTCTCCCACTTCCTTTGTTCAGCAGATGGAGTGTTTAGGAAGGAGTATCTGATTTGGAGAAGAGAGTAGCATGTGGGGCCTAGGATGCAATGGAGACTACCCACCCTCTGTGTACATTTAAGATAGGAACTGGTCTTAATATAGACCAAATTAAAGGTGACAGTTCTGAAAGGGGCACTGCACAGTCATTTACGAACTCCCAGACATGGTATCTAATGCTCTGTGCTAACTTCAGAAGAAAGATTTTCTTTTTACATTTAAAATAGAAACCACCCAGTCAAATAACTATATGTAATAGACATACAATTGTTACTCTTAACCAAAAATATTCTCTGTAATTCTCATCCTAGATTTCTATTAATGGTTTGGACAAAACAGATATGGTAAAATAGGCATGTGGTCAGCATTTTGCATCCCCACTTTACATTGTGCACTCTTTTTTTCCTTTGTGTGCTATAATTGAGATACTAAAAATTGGTCAAATAAAGCCAATGTCAAATTGGACTGTGCTTCTAATTCCTTTAGCAGAACTGCTTGTTTTGTTTTGTTTTGTTTTTTTGAACCAAAAAGGGCAGCAGGACTTTCCTGACTCTGGGACTTGCCCTAAATATTTATTAGTTCCTGTTTAAAATCAGCCTCATCCTAGAAACTTCCAGTGCACTTACAGTCTTGAATCGATTGCTTCTTCCCCTATTCCAATGGCTAACTATCATATTTGGTGGCTCCAAAAACACATAAGCTAAAAACTAAGGGAGGAGACACTTGAGTTTTCTGGGCCCTTATTTGTCAACATTCAATGGAGACAATCAATGGAAAAGAACTACGTCATTTGCTTACTCCAGGGCTGGTGCAAATGACAGTGTTGACAAGGTTACCCTGTTAAGCTGACATCACTCATGTCACATTCAACTAGAAAGAATTTATGCCAATCTCAACTGCCTTAAGTCCAGAAGAACTTCAATAAAAGATTGGACATGCAAAATCCATTCCCATATCCTGTTTGTTTAATAAGCAATTTATTTTCAAATTAAGGATTTGGAAACTATCATATGCTTTTGGCTTTGAAGAAAAACAAGAACTTTCTTGTTGGTGATAGATGAGGCTTTTCAAAATATAATTTATGTCTGTTTTATATCCATGAGCTTATTACTGAAGGCGACCCTTGTTAGATCTGATAACTGCCATTTCCTCTTTGGTCATCTGAAGCTAATTAGAGCTGCTGTTTACAGCAGAAGTAATCAATAGCGTTTTATAGTGGCCTACACTGCATCAGACCCATATGTAATTAGCTGAGTGTAGATACAAAGATAGCGTAATTAAAGCAAAATATGTTCTTTAAGAGATATTTACTAATTGTTAGTCTTCCAGATATTTCAACACACTTAATGTGTTCGTTCCAAGCAGTATATTTCAGGAAGTTTTCACAGATCAAATAGGCATCAAGTTTATCTCAAGACCATTTGCTACTGAAGAATGTTGGCAATTATGGTTAGAACTATGCATTCAAAAGCATTTGTGTATGAATATGCTTCTAACTCAATTACACTTGAAAAACTAGGTCTTTACCTTGGTTGCACAAAAGACATTTCTTCTTCTTTCTCACCATTAGTTTTTTTCCCCTTTCAATAATTTGATCAACACTCAGGAGGAAAACAGCAGCATGAGTGGAAGGCGGGGGACTATGTATGCTAAGATGGCATGCACCAAGTGTGGATTTCTTCCCCCAAAGCCTCTCTGCTGAATTCAAAAGAAAACTCCAATTTATCAGCATTAAATCAAACAGAAATGCTGTTACTGAGTTTACTCTGTCTAGAGGGGTGCACAGTCTTACAAACATATCAGAATATACCTTGGATCTAATTTACCTCAAAAATACCCAGGTCTCAAAAACCTACTTTAGAACTGTATCAGGTTAATAAAAAAAGAATTATAGAAGAGAACGTGTAGATCTATGGACCCGATGTTTTGCCAACATTATGCAGCTTTTCTCTACACTGAGGCAGCCCTGTACTTTGTAATTTAAGGGTCCCTATTTTTATCTTTGTCCTATAGTAACTAAACAATCACGATGGACCCAGTATATTACCGTGGAAGTTTTACTTCAGGACTCTAAATCCAACATAATGAACTTTTTGCCTTAACTCCGTTATCGTCTGTCATGGAAGAGGTAGGAGAATGGGGGGGGGAGGGGGAGGAAGGGGGAAGAGATGCAACTCAATAAAACTAGATTACTCTGGATCATTTAGACATAACTGCCTGTAAGAGTAACTAAGCCGTCACAGTTAAAGGTAAAGACAACCCTCAGGAAAGGAACTGTGCTGATCTTGAAGGATAGAGCAGAGAATTTTGCCTCATCCAGTAAAGGCTGTCCTTGTTAAGGGAAACAAATCCAGAATCATTACATTACATGAACTAGCAATGTGGCCATTAGACCTAGACCATTTTGTTAAGTGACCGACATCCCCCCCTTCAGATGAGACTCCTAGCATATCTACATGAATGGTCAATGATTAAGCTTTAGGATTCTCTGTTTCCCCCCTGCTCCTGTCTACCATAATGTGATGCAGAGCTTTCTGATAAAGCATAAGGCTCCTAGAATTCTGCTTTTAAGGAGTTATATTTATAGTGTTACTAACATAGGCAGATAAAACGTTCTATGAGAGGGAAATTAACTCCATGTATTTTGTATTAAACCAACAGTAAAAAATGGGGATAGTATTATTAGGTCCAAAATATAGAAAGCCAACATTTGAAACCATTTAGTAAAATTTGTTTCTATATATAATCTCATAAATGTAAAGATTATTAGAGTTAAGCTTCCATTATGTCTGACTCTTTGTTAGTTTAAGGAATTCTCACCCATATAAGGCTTAGATGAATGTATTTAAATGATTAACATACCGTTAGCAAGTTGCAAACTCCCACCACCCCCCTTTTTTATGAAATCATAACTGAGAAACATACATTACATCTGTATGTGACATACCATGTTTTAGCAGGAGAGAATGCAAAACCACTTAAGAGTTCATAAACATTGAGAAGGAAGATGCTAATACATTTAGAAAGCTTAACATCAGTAGCAGTCTATGAGAAGGAAATGTTTTCATAAAGTCCACTCTTGGTGAGAACTTTTGACAAAAGCCTGTCATCTCCGTAAGTCTGAAGTTTGCTTAATTTAAAACCAAAGCTGTTCAGTGAAATAGGGAGGAAAACAAACTTAGTCCCCCCTAAAAATAAAGGCCAGGGTTAAAACCATTTAAAAATTAATTAATAATAAAAAGCCTATTTGTTTTATAGCCAAATTTACATACTGTCTCTTTAAAATACAGCATGTTCAAAAGCCTTTTGGGTTTGGAATGCAGCACTGCATCAAGCATTCCACAAAGGCCCCCTAAATATCACAAGAAACTTTCTTTAAAAAAAAAAAAATTCCAGTTGAATGAAACTCTTTTAGCAGACTGCTTCAACTTAGCTCCTAAAACTGGAATTTCAGAGAGACAACAAAGAACAGGAAACGGCTTTTTTTTTGTTTTGTTTTTGTACACGTCCATATGTGGTTGTTTTGTTTGTTTGTTAGTAGGGCTACAATGTTTCTGCCAGACTTATGGACAAGAAGGTCTTCAATGCGATGATGGCCAGGATCGTGAATTTGCTTAGCCTCCCACTCGTAGGCGTAGCCGCTGAGTCTGAGGCCATTTGGCTGGAGCCCCCAGCTCTGTCTTTGTCAAAATCCCGCTGTAAGAGAGGATATTTTTCAGTGAGTCACCTGCTGAGCAGCTTCTTTTCACCAATGTGCAGTTAAACTTAACTTGGTTTTTACCTTATTACCCTGTTACTCATCAAAGCGGACCTTGGATTTTTCTACATAAAGGTTAATTAGCAAAATTTTAAATATGGGGAACAGGGAAGCTGGTGGTCTGTTTCATCATCACTATAGAACCTCTTAAGCCAATGACTACCTGACCACTTCACTGTTTAAGAATCAATTTAGCAGAAACGGTACCAACTGAGAGGATGTTTCAAGTCTCTGCTGGGCTTGGGTTTTCTTGTCTAAACTATCTTTTTCCATCACAGGTGTTCAATTAGATTATGCCACTCATGAGCTTTGTGGTTACCAGCTCACCCTATTGGCTTCACCAATGTGAGGGAAAGGAAAACCAATGGTGAGGAAAGGAGTATCATGTCAGAGAAGTCACTCTAGATCATTTAGCAAGCAAAAGTGTAAATAGAAGTACTCAGACTCAAAGAATTTAAGAGTGCAGGATTTGGCAACATAGGACATGAGTTCAAATACCAGTTTCATCACTTATTATCGAGGTGAGTTTGTATAAGTAAAAAAGAAATCTCTCCAGACCTCAGTTTCCACATCAGAAAAATAAGAAGGTTAATTAGACAGTCTCTTTGCTCTCCCCTAGTTTTAAATTTATGAAGCTATAAGTCATCTGGTTCAGTCTTCAGTTTTACAGGTGAGGCTCAGTGAGTAGAAAGGATAATCTGCTTCCATCTCAGATTACTGTGAATGAAGCTAAGGATAAAAAAATTTGAAATTAGGAGGTATTTTATACACCCTCTAAGTCACTTCTCATTTTAGAAATGGGGAAACTGAAGGCCATAGTTGTGCCATTGCTTTCTTAAGGTCACTCATCACAGTAATGGCAGTAATGGCAGGGCAAGGGACTAGAATCCCAGGTCTGTTGGGTTCCAAGCACAATGCTCTTGTATTTGTTAAAATTAGTCCTGGGACCCTAAAATCAGTCTCAGCTAAAGGAACTCATTCTTGTGGCATCCAAGCAATTTCTTATATTAAAATGGATGCTAGCAGAGACGTGAAGGCACAGCCTACAGGATCAAAAAAGTAACACCATTCACTTGTGGGGAGAGGCAGGAGGCTCCGTCATGGCAGCCTAGTCTTCCCCACCCATGTGTCTAGCCCAAACTGCCCCAAATTTAAGTACATCTGATTTTTGTCCCTCAATCTGGCAGCTCAAACTGGCACTAGAATCACCTTAATGAGGAAGAAATTCCAACACCCATCGGGTAAAGAGGTAAGCATTCAATTATCACTTATCTGATGATGCATGTTTGATTTTCATGTACTAAGTGGGGAGTGATTTATGCGGCTGTCAATCTACTTATCAAAAACAAGCACTCAGTCATCTTTTAAGTTCAGGCTTGCTAAATTCCACAATTCCCCATCCCTACATGTTATGCTTAATAGTTGCAACTATAATTACCCCATAACCTGCATAATCAGGTATTTATGTGTTCTTTCCATGTAACTTCGAATCAAAAGCATCACATGGTGTTTACCAGGACATTAGAGTGATGGTTCTTTAAATTGACGAAACTGTCAATGGAAAGGTTCTTACAGCCATGGCGTTTTTAAGGAGTGAGCTCAGAGCCCCATTTCTGCTTTAAAAGGTTTCAGAACAGGATGGCTGAACTCAGGTTTCAAGTGGAAAATGAATGTGGGCTCTCTTTACCCCTTCTTCCCAAACCAGCACTAGAGACCATGTGCTCTAGTCCCCAAAAGTAGCATAGCAAAATACAATTCATATAGTACTTACATCAGCCAGGCAGAGGTGTGGATTTCCTGAAGCATTGGATTTTAGCTTCTGTGCCTGAGGAAAGACACAAAAATAAGATAGGTTGGTGAAAACAATGCAAAATTAATCACCTTGGTGGGGAGGCGGGGGCTGTCCCGTTATACAGGTTTGCAGCTGGCCATCTTATTCACTATCATATTCCAAGAAGCCAATTCTCAGGAAGGGCCACTCCCCCATCAAAAGCAGCTCAGTACTAAAGTAAGCATAAAACCACTTATTTTTATTACCTATATATAGCACCAGAGGCTTAGAGGGGAGCAAGCTGCTCATGATGAATAATTAGGCACTTTCTATGAACTCTGGCAGATCCTTGGAATAACAGAGGTAGAAGAAAGCTCTAAGACTAATCCAATTCCTCTAAGAGGAAGCTCCAGCCCAAAGAAGAGGCCATGTTCAAGGGTACACAGCGAGTTAATGGAGGAGCCCATTACCAGCGCCTAGGTTACTGGCATCCCTTACCCTACATTAAGAAGCAATGGTTCTTAACCTCTTCCCAGTAAACATATCACGTTTTTGGCTTGTAAAAGATTCCATGAACCACTCCCACCCTATCCGGAATTGCCCCAACCCCACCCCAAATCCTCCCTGAAATAAATGAAAAGAATACACCTGCTTTGGATGAGATAAGCAACAAAAGAGATAATAACTGAACTCCAAATTTGTGCGAAATCTCTTTACTTTATGTACGCTAATACTACAGGAATCTCACTTATGGGCTAATTAGATGCCCCTCCAAGATGATCAGGTCACCCTTGACTTTGCCTGGAAAACCACTACAGTAAAACAGAAATGCATTACTCAAGTGGCCACTAAGCCAATGCAAAGAAGAAAGAACAAAATTGTGACAGTCTCTCTGTACTCTTCTGGTGCCCCATGGTTTATTGTTATACTTCCATTTCTGACTCCCCAAAGTTACTCAGTTGTCAAAACATTTCCATAAATGACCATTTTCCCCCAATACATTTTATTTCCTCCTTGGTTTCTTGGCAGGGTTATAATTTCTGTAAGTCCTTCTAATGCATAAGAAAGACGGAATGAAGGAAGGAAGGAAGGAAGGGAGGGAGGGAGGGAAGGAGACAGGGAGACAAAACAGTGGATTAGGAAATAGACAACTTGAGTGTTGCTTATTTGGGTCTATCACTAATTAATCAGTTACCCAACGAAAATTAGTTCTCTGGACATCAATATTCTTATTTGTACAGTGAGGGAGTTGGATTAGACCTGAGGCTTCTTCCAGTTTTATCATTCTGTACTTTTTTTGTTCCCCTCTTGGAATAAATGTCTTCACTGCTCAAATTTAGGATGCTAGGGGGTGACTAATTCAATTCAATTCAACAAACACTCACCTCAAGCTTTTCTAGGTGCTAGACCCTAAGGCTGAAGTTGGGGAAACAGAAGACAAGACAGTTTCCACCCTTTGGGAGCTTACAATCTATTTGTAATTTGTATTTATAATGCAAATAGGGTTGAAGGCTCACTGTAGGATGACCTAAAGTACTCCTTAATGTCAACAGTAATAAAACCTTCTATTTGTACAGCTTGGTGGCAGTTTTCAACATGATCTCATGTATGCTGTCTCTGATCTTCAAGACTGCCTTGCAGGGGAGATAAAGAAGACATTACCATACTCCATTCATAGAAGATGAAACAGACAAAGGGAAGTTTAGTGACTTACCAAAAGTCATACAGCTAGCAAAGGCAGAACTCTGATCTGGGCTTCTTTGGTCCTAGGTACTGTATTTAACCACCTCCCCCCAACTAGGCCACACTGACTTCTCTTAACTATCAGTAATACCTCAATTTGCAGGGTTATAAGGGACAATAAACCCACAACAGCAAATCACCTCAGACCAGCCCCTTAAGCTTTAAGCTAAAAACAACACTAATAAAAAGCCCAGAGTATAAACAGGGATGTTGGTGTTTTGACACTACTGTGACCAAAAACTTATCAGCTAATGAGATATTGAGCCTCCTCACTGTTTACCCTGACCTTTATCCCACTGGTCTACAATGGGCAACTCATCAAAGACTGTTTGGGTAAACATTTCTGCAAAAGACGCTAGAAAAATGCCTATGTTGAGAACCCACTTTTGCATCAAGTTGAAGAAATACTAGGTCAAGATACTCCTAATGCTATCTGGGAAGTGTCATAATCTCTAACTGTATTTGTATATGCCAGTTTTGAATATGAAATTTAAACCTTTAAACAGGTATTATGAGTAAAGAACTGTTAAGTAGACTTCTGTTAACAAAAGGTCATTAAAGGTTGCATAAAATCAGAGAGGTAACTCGAGGAGAAAGTGGTACTTTGCACAATATTCTACATTAAAAGGAGATTAGGCTAACTGTGCTATTACCTACAGAAAAGACTATATAGAATTTTAAATGTTTATTCCTGCTTTTAACCGGAATTATGTCCAGACATTAAAATGATCACTAAAATACTGTACTCTCCTTTTCATTGCTAGACCATAATCTATAAAAGACGTGTATCCTTCCTGAGCACTCTGGGAAAACTAATAGAATAATACCCTAAATCATGCAGATGATATGGGTATATTTTATAGACAGCACTTAAGGAAGTATTTTATTTCTAAGCTGTATCTCCTCTTGTGATCACAGGTCAACTGGGATTCAAAGTCTTTAACTATAGGTATTAGTAACAATGAACAATTAATCAATCAACAACATCTATTACATTTTTATTGTTATCAATACATACCAGATAAATACAGAGTAGATGGAAGGTGGCTTTAAGTGACAATTAGTAGCTGGAAGACCAGAAAAGGCTTCTGCTAAGAAAAGAAACCTGAACTGAGTCTAGAACTAAGCCAAGGCTTTTGAGAGGCAAGGGCAAGGCGGGAAGGCATTCCAGGCATAGGAGATATTACTGAGAAGGTCCAGAGATGGGAGATGGAGCATCAGGTGTAAGGAACAGTGAGGAGTCAGTATGGCTAGACTGTAGAGTACAGAGAGGGGAGTAATAAGTTAAATGACTAAAATGATGAGAAGAAGCCAAGTCAGAACAGCTTTGAATGTCAAAGGGTGATTTATGTTTGATCCTTGAGGTAATCAGGATCCATTAGTTTGTTGAGAGAGGAATCAGGGGTGTCAAGAGTATGACATGTTCAGAACTACACTTTAGGAAAATCACTTTGGCAGCTGGGTGGAAGATGGACTAGAGTAAGGAGAGACTTGAGACACAGCATCTAATTAGAAGACCATGTCAATACTCAAGGACAGGGGTGAGGAGGGCTTGAAGTAGTATGGTGGCTATATGAGTAGAGAGAATAGGATTCATGTGCGAGAGGTAGAGGGGTGAAACCCGACATTTGGCAACTAACTGGATATGTGAAGTGAGTGAGAGACAGGAATTGAGAATTACAGAGAGGATTCAAACCTGTGTGGAGAGTGGTGGAAGGAGAATAGTGTCCTTCTCAACAATAGGAGAGTTCAAAAGAGGAAAAGGTTTGGGTGTTTCGTTTGTTTTTGGTGGGGAACAATACTGTGTTCTAGTTCAAACATGTTGAGTTTGAGATGCCTATAGGACATCTGGTTTGAAATGCTCAATAAGGATACTAGTTATATGGGACTGGAGCTCAGGAGAAAAATTAGAGAAATTAGAACAATTAAGGAATCATCTGATTAGAGATGATATTGAATCTATGGGAACTGATTAGATTGCCAAATAAGAGATTATAGAGAGAAAAGGGAAACCAGGACAGAACTTTAGGGGATGTTCACAATTAGTGGGAGTGACCTGGATGGAGATCCAGCAAAGGAGAAGACAGGTAGGAAGGAGAACCAAGAGAGAGCAGAGCCACCAAAACCTGGAGAGAAGAGAATATCTACAGGGAGATATTAGACTTACATGTCAAATACTACAAGGGTCAATGGAAACTAACAAATCATTGGTATACAAATTAAAACAACTCTAAGGTTCCCGTCACCCTATTAGATTGGCTAACATGACAGAATAAGGAAATGAAAAATGTTGGAGGGGATGTGGGAAAATTGGGACACTAATGCACTGTTGGTGGAGTTGTGGACTGATCCAACCATTCTAGGGAGCAATTTGGAACTATGCCCAGAGGCCCATAAAACTGTACATACACTTTGATCCAGCAATACCACTACTAAGTCTGTATTCAAAAGAGATTTTTTAAAATGGGAAAAGGACTTATTTGTACACCCATCAATTGGGTAATGACTAAACAAGTTGTGGTATATGATTGTAATGGAATACTACTGTGCTATGATAAATGTTGAGCAGGCTGATTTCAGAAAAAAGCTGGAAAGACTTACACTAACTGATGCACAGTGAAGTGAGCAGAACCAGAAGAACATCGTACACAATAATAGCAATACTGTACAATGATCAATTGGTGAATGACTTAGCTATTTTTAGCAATAAATGATTCAAGATAACCCAAAAGGATCTGTGATGAAAAATACTATCTACCTCCAGGGGGGAGATCGGGAAACTGATGGATCTCGAATGCAGATTGAAGCATACTATTTTTAACTTTCTTTACTTTTTTTTCATGTCCCTCTTTCCCCACTTCTGGGTCTGTGACATTTTTTACAACACGACTAATATGGTAATGTGTTTTGCATAACTGAATATATCTAACCTATATCAAATTGCTTATTGTCTCGGTGAGGGGGGAGGTGAAGGAAGGAGAAAGAAAATTTGGAACTCAAAATTTTAAAAAGATGAATGTTAAGAATCGTCTTTTTACATGTAACTGGGGAAAACTAAAATGTTATTTTTAAAAATATAAACTAAAAAGAAATTACTGATAAATCTGGAGACCCGTTTCAGTTGAATAAGGCCCAAAGTGGTCTGTTTCATTCATTAATTTATTTCACTAACAATTACTGAACACCTAGAATATGAGAGAGGCACAGTACAGAGGAGATGTGACCATAAGAGGGGATTTTTATTCAGCTGTGGGTTGGACTAGATGACCCCTTAAGGTCCCTTTAAACCTGGAGATGCACAATTCTGTAAT